ACATACGTTATTTTGTCATACCTAGCCCTAGTTCATCATCTAAGGCTTCTTTCTAGGATTTAATCACAATTCATATTATTCTTCAATCAATCACCCCAATTTATGGTCTAGCATACGCTCATAAATCTAGTTCCATTTATGATTCCATATTCTTATTCTTGACACAATTCTATCCAAGATAGCAATTCTAGAAACCCTAACAAGTCATCAGTTTCTCTTCTCAAGGCATAACCCAATTACTTGATTTCAAGGAATTACCCCTAGAATTCCCTCGGTGCACGAACATCTACACATCAACCCTACCATTGATTTACATATATTACGTGGGAAGCACATATTTAAACTACTCAATTCATAAAACCTAGCCTACCTAGGCGCCAAGAAGTTGCACGAAGTTTTGACTTCGATTCGGGTTTCTCGGGCTTCGTGACGGTGGATTTATCCAAGAATTTGCAAGATTTCACCATCCTCACGCTAGAAGTCTCCTTCCCCTTCCTTTCCAAGCTTAGAGCAGCTTTTCTGAGGTTTTTAGGGTGTTTTACGACTTATTTAGGTATTTTAGGAAGATTGGGAAAATAGGATTTCTCGTAATTTACGTGTTGCCTCGCCTATCCCGCCCTGGCACTACCTTACCCCATTGTGGCGCCGCCGCCCCAGAGGCACCTGGACCGCTCTGGCGAGACAAGGCCCAGTAGTGTCCCGGATTTTTTCCTCTCCTAATTAACGACGGTTCTGGTCGTTACAGTTTTTCTCGAAAAATATTTATAAGTATAAAATTATATAAAAAGTTTCTTAGTTGATGAAATATCTTATAATTATGATGTCATATAGTAAGACATTTTGATTGCTTCACAATATTGTATAATGTAAAAATAATACAACCTAATATCTTTCAGCATGAATCGTTGGATGTATAAAATTCTCATTTGCTCCTAATTGTCATGTCATATCACATTAAAATTTTGATTTTTTTCAATAATAAATTTGTCAAACTCATTACTCGACTTATGCCTTATACATAGTTTTAAAAAAAATGTTATCATATGAATAATTGGATTACATTCTTATTTCATTAAAAAAATGCAATCAAATCCTAAATGAGTTTTTTATAAGTTAAATAAATAATTATAAAAAATAGAGTTTTAATATGACATGGCATGCCATAGAAGAGGAGCAGTGTTTTATCAAATCTCATTGTTTTTAGGGTAGAAATGAATACATCTTCACCTGAAATTATTTATCGTACTAATTAACCAAACTGCGTTTCGTGCGGTCATATTTTCCTATATTTAGTTGATGTAAAAGAAATTAAAAAAATTTAATATCAATATCTATCTCTCTCTCTCTCTCTCTCTCTCTCTCTCTATATATATATATATATATATATATATATATAACAAAAACCATAAAATTAAATTAGTTTCCAGATAAAAAAAGAGAATTATAATTTTGCCTTGAAGCAATACAAAGATATATTTTCATGCCAATTTTAAATACGTCGGTATCTCATTTTTTGGTGTTTTAAATTATTTATGCGATTTTACTAATAATTTCTTTATATAATATTATTTACGCTTATAAATTTATTTAACTATTTAAATTTAGATTTCATGATTTCTCTTACTTGTAATTTAACTTTTTCACAATTATTACTTTAAAATATGAGCATATCAATTAGTGCAATTAATAAAATTAATAGCCTAAACTTTTTATATATCCACACAAACATTTCATATGAAAAGTATAGAAAGTGTAATTCTAAATTCAAGAAAGGAAGTAGAAGTTATATTCAATTCACACATCTACTAATTAATTAATATTTTATAAAAAAAATTACATTAAAAGTAATAAATACACAAGAAAGCTAAAATATCAATTTTATATAGAAACTAAATAAATTTTGTAACCCAAACACTACATGAATATGAAGAAGTTAAAAGTGAATACCAATACAAAACACTATTCTATTAGGTCACGAACTCGTGCCCCATTCTCTCTATCTCATAAATCAATATGTGGATGAGTTTTGATTTTTAGTAAAGAATATGAAAAGTTAGGATAATAAATGATAATAATTGTGACTTTTATTCTTATAAACTGATAAAATAAAAGGAAAATAGGGAAAAAAAGATGAAAAAAAAATGTTTTTTCTCGCTAGTGCAATATTTTCTTATTTCTAACTTTAATCAATGTTCATCATGAAATGTAATAAATATAAATGAATATTGAGAATTCTTTCTGGAGAGTTACAACTTATCTTATTTTTTAATTGACTAATTATGTAAATATTTTTTAGATTTATAAAAATTAAGATAAAAAGATTAATCTCATAATCAAGAGAGTTAAAGGGATGGGTTTTTCTAAGCTATTTGAAAAGATATTCCATTAGACTACTCTAATTTAATAATTTCATTCTTTTGGGAGAAAATGAAAGATTTGAGGGATAAATATTTATGTCTTTATATTTACAATAAAGAATAGAAATAAGTGGAGTAGTAAAGTTTGAATTCTTACAATAAATAATAGAAATTAATGAAGGGGTAGTAATTGACACATTTTTTAATAGTAATAATAAATAGAAATATAGTGAAAATCATAACAACAAAAAAAATGAGAAAAAATAAATAAATAGGATCCTTGGCCAAAGAAAAAGGTTGGAGTGATATATATTTAGGTCTTTAAATCCACAACAAAGAATAAGAATATGTCGAATAATAAATTTTGAGATATTTAAGTTATATATATATATTTCATTCTTTATGGAGAAATGAAAGGTTGGAGTGATATATATTTAGGTCTTTAAATCCACAACAAAGAATAAGAATATGTCGAATAATAAATTTTGAGACATTTAAGTTTTTTATATATATATATTAATTTTTCATTCTTTATGGAGAAATGAAAGGTTGGAGTGATATATATTTAGGTCTTTAAATCCACAACAAAGAATAAGAATATGTCGAATATAAAATTTTTGAAACATTTAAGTTTTTACAATAAATAATATAAATGAATGGAGAGAGTAGTAATTGACACTTTAAATAATATTAATAAATTAAAATATAGTGAAATTTATCGAGAAAAAATGAGAAAAAAATAAATAAGATATTTGGTAAAGAGAGGTGCAAATGATAAGTTATTAATAGTGATATTGAGGAACTAATTCTTATATTTTTTTCCATTTTTTCTTAATTAATTCTTACATGCATTGGTTACATAGAAATAGGGAGAAACGAAAAAAGAGGAGGAAACTAAAAAGATAAGTTAAATATTGCATTAAATGTGAGAGTAAATAAAAAATTCGAAAATTTAAAAAGATGTATTCTAGTATAAAGTTAAAAGAGGTGTTGTTTCATTCAAGTTTTATATAAACATAAATTTATGACCTTTATATTGTCTTTTTTCTTTTTTGAAAATGAAAGTATTGATATAATATTTTTAGTTTCTTTAGTTTTTCTTAAGAATTATATAAATGCTCTAGTTTGTTGTCATTTTTTTTAAATTCATTGTTTGGATAACACTTTTTTAACAAGTTATCAAATTTTCGCTCTTTAAAATACTTCTAATTGTAATGTCGAATTTAGGAATGTACTTCAGCAGGCAAATAAACAGTAACTTCAAGTATATAATGTTCGTTTTAGGATGCTGCAAAAAGTTATCATAATAAAAATTCACAAGAACTAATCATAATTTTGCCTAATGAATTATGTATGTACAACTATAGTCATATAAAAAAAAAGATTGTTTTATCAAGTTCTCTTTCTCAGTCTTCTGATTTTCCTTACTTATCATTTTATTCTCTTTCCTTTACGTTTTTAAAATACAACTTCAAGAAAAAAGAGAAGGTAAGGAACTACAATTAAAAAAAAATTAAAGTATATTTTAAGTTTTTCAATAAGTACATAAATGGAAAATAGAGAAGAGGAAAGAAAAATTAAAGAGATAAAATTACTACAACAATAATTTTATTGTAAGACTCTACATCATCTTCTTCTAAAATTCACAATTTTCTCTACTTTCGTATCTTCCTTGGCTTTCTTCTTCATCCCTATAAGTGCAAATTAAGAATATACTTATATGAAATTGTTAGTTACTCCGTGAACTTAGTCAATTTAGTTTCAAAGATTAGTTAAATTGACTTAAAATAAATAAATAAATAATATCACATAAATTAAAGTAAAAAACGTATAATTTAAAAACTTAATAGAAGCATTCTTACTCATAATTTCTTTATGACTTTGTTGAAAGCAACCATATGATGTGATTATTAACATTTTCTTCCTCGCCCTAATGTATGATATGATGATGGAGAAGTGCAAGAATAACTTTGAATGAAAATTTTCTTGATACAAAATATGAATTTATATAGACAAAGAGGAGGAATACCTTAAGACATAAACTTACAAATTAAATTTTGAGGGTTATGAATATTATTAAGAGTATAAGTTGAGGATGTGTGAGTTATTAGTAGTTATTTTTTATTTTATTAAAGATATTAAATATATACTATAGTGATAGGTGAAAAGTTGAATAATTGAATGTGAAAACTTTTTAAGATATTAAAATAAAATAAATAAATAATGAAGGAAAAATAGTCAACAAAAAAATGAGAAAATAGATAAATATGAATGGATGTCATAAAGAGGTGTCATATCATCTTCTCTATGTTTCTCCTCTATATATATATAGATTCTTCTTTTACACGTTTCTTTTTTTATACATCTCTTAATAGAATATTAATTAGGAGGAATTTATTATTATTTATCCTTATTTATGTTTTAACATATGATAATAGTTACTCTATTTATGTGTCATAATCGAGATGTTTATAGTCTTCATAACAAATAAATACAAATTATAATTTGAGAAAACATAATTAATTTGTATTAAACTTAAAAAATTACAAATTAATTTGAGCTAACTATTATGGAAGACGTCACATTATAACCCATTGGCATTTCAGGACACTAACTACTTGGCTACAAAAACAAGATACCTTTTCTTCATAGCATTTCAAGTTGGCATAGTTTTAAACAACTTAGCCTATGAAGGTAATTGTTCCAAATTAAAGCTGGGAAATCTGGAAATTATCTGTGAGATTCGGTAATAAAATCCTTACATTCTTGTCAATCAATCTTTTACCAAAAAAATCAGAACAGTTACAATGTCAATCCCATGGAATAACATAAAAATGACATAATTACACAACCTATTTGTTCTCATGTAACAGAAGTATAGGCCATGAGATATGCAGCAATCATCAAACCAGGACAATCAAAACAGAAAAAAACTCACAAGATTTACACACATGTTTCTTCTATTTCCTTGGGAGGTCTTTCAAAGCAGGTCGTTTATCAGGCCTTAACGCAGTTACAGTGCCAATATCTCCTTTAACATTTGGAGCATTTTCTTTCATGTCAGCTATCTGAGTTAGTTTGTTAGGGGTTCCATGTATCAGAATGCTTCTGGCATTCTTCTTTTTCACAGTGGAGTTCAAGTGCTTGGCAAAAGATGTTTTAGCCACACCTGCTGCTGGGGTTAAAGCTACTTTCTTTTCAGCCAACTCATCCTTTTTCTCAAATATCAATGTACCTTCACCAGCAATGCCTAAATGACATGACAAATGCATAATTAGTATAGTCAAACCTAAATGTTCGAAATATATCAAACAAATCCAGCAGGTATCAGCCCTGTTTACCTTCCTCAATAAAGCTAATGCTTTCATGAGATTTAGAAGAAGGTGATAACACTGCTCCAGTTGATTCATGCTCCTTTTTATCAAAAGAATCCTCATCTTGTTGCTTAGCTGCACTTGACTTCTCTTGATCACTTACACGCTGAGGCTCTTCTGTGAATATTCCAGGCATGTCCATTTGTGTGGTGAGACCTGAATTGTTAACAATCGTAGGCGTGCTCTCATTTGATTCAAATATAACAAGTATGTCCCCCTCAGCAGCAAGATCATCTTCCTTAGTAACATGTTGACATTCATTTGTGAAAGCAGTAAACCCCTCAGTGCTCGAAGCATTTTCTACCGCATAATGTTCTATAAAGTGGATCTGCTCATCAGCAGGCAAAACTGTTGAATTGTTTTTTGTATATTCATCATCATTGGGAATATTCTCTAGGAAAGCGTTACTGATATTGCTCACTTCTATTTTTTGCACTTCCTCTCCCTTAGTCTCTTCTACTGTGATGATAATCGGTTCCTGACTTCTTAATGCAGTGGATTCAGCATCAAATTCAAGAATTCCACTTTCTGAAATTCATTACTAAGTAAGCAGTTTTAAATTTTGGAGAAAAATATTAATAAAACAAAATAATTCAAGATAATTGAAAGTTAAAGATCACAAAATCTTCATAAAGTTGCCTCTTAGGTTAAGAAATGGATACCCTGAGGTTACTAACCTCTATGTACAAATTTCATGCACAAAGAAAAATATTAATAAAACAAAACAATTCAAGATAACCTGAGGTTGCCACATTGTTGCTCATACAGACTTATTGAACTCACCAGCACTAACGGAAAAGCCATCAGTCTTCCTTGTCCTCTCCTGAGTTATGTTCTCAGTTTTGATGTCAGTTAAAAGAATGTTAGGTTGTTGGCAAACTGCATCACTTACAGCACCACTTTTTGCTGCTTCATCAGTGTTAATTAATTCGTCTTCAATAGATTCTTGATATGGTACTGGATGATTGTTTTCCTTGCCCTCAGCCAGAGCATCATCTTCTGTGACTTCCCCTTCCTCATGCAAGGGCTCAAACGGCCAGGCAGAATCAATTTCTGCATCATTGGCAGTCCAAATATCAGGCTTATGCATCTATTTAGGGACCTTGCAAAATAGAAAATGAGAAAAGTGTACGAGTAAAATCTATATTTCCTCAGTACTTTTAGGATTAGGAGCCAATCATTCTTAAGAACTACCTGATAATATCCGGTACTTCATTTGGTAATAATAATCCCGATAGCACTGCCACATTTCTTAACCATCAAAACCATATATCAGCAGATAAAGAGGGTGTTTTGATAAGCTTATAAGCCGGACAAATTGACTTATAAGCAATTTTTAGCTTATCTACGTGCTTGGTAAACATAAAAGTGTTTATAAACCTTGTGCAGTTGTGCTTCTAAACCATAAGCTATTTATCCCCCAGCTTATAAGTTTCATCTTACAAGCACTTTCATTTGATCAAATATTTTAATATTTTATCCTTAATATTTTTTAATTTCCTCTATATAGTGTTCCAAGAAACTGATTTCAAATGTTTCAAGCATCTGAAGACATAGTTTCTTATTCTTCCACCTGCACTTCATTTAACCATTCCAAATTCATAATTGTACCATTCAAGAATTCATTATATTATATACTCAGACTTGCAAATTAATCACACAACATCGAAAATGAATATTACCTTTCTGTGTCTCCAGCTCTGTCTGTCTGGGAACATTGTCATCGTTTGTTTGAAACCAATGAAGTGTAGCTTCACCTGTATCATCAGTTATTTCATTTAAAAATTGACGATCTCCGTGCTGTTCAAAATTTTGTTCCCGAGTGTTAAGGAGCTTAACACCATCTAGATACTTGAAGATATCTTCCTCACAACCAGGACTTTCCTCAAACTGTAGTGGACGTGTACCTTTTGATGGTGTAGGAAACAGAGGCCCTCCTTCAAATTGTTCAATCTCTTTGGAGAAATGAGATCTTTTTGTTCTATCAGAACCTCCACTAATAATCTCTACAGTAAGTGGTTCACCAGAAAATTCAAACCCTTGCTTAGGCTGCTTACCAGCCATTTCAGAAATCATTGCAATCATTGCTGTCTTCAATTGACAACTAGAAGCTTCACCCAATCTGGAAGGGCTTGCTTCTTTGATTGGGGTGGCAAACTGCAGTCTCAAGTGATCTTCAGTACCATCATTAAAAGCATCAGATGTGTTAATGTTCTCGAAACTGCTCTTATCGATCTCCGTCAACATTTGTTGTTCAGAAAATCCAATATCATCATATGTAGGCTCTGAAATAGGAGAAGCACTTTCGTTTGGACTGCTCTGATTGATCTCCGGCACCATTTGCTGTTCAGAAAATCCAATATCATCGCATGTAGGCTCTGAAATAACAGGAGAAGTGCTTTCATTTGCAATTCCAACATAAATATCTTCTTCAAGACCTCTAGAGACATCTCCTCTTAGCAACAAATTCCTGTCAGCCACTGTTTCCTCAATTTTGTGTTCCTCTATGTCAACAATTTCATGAAAACAGATTTCATGTATTGTATTCACCTCTGTGTCTCTAACCATTTCTCCTGACATTGCAACATCTGCTGTCTTAGGTTCTTGAGGAGAAAATAACAACAAATCCCTGTCAGCCACTGTTTCCTCGATTTTTTGTTCCTCTATGTCAACAATTTCCTCAACACAGCTTTCATGTCTTGTAGTCATCTCTGTGTCTCCAACCATTTCTCCTGACGTTGCAACATCTGCTTTCTTAGTGTCTTGAGAGAAAAACTCATTATTCTGCAATGGAGTCATGTTTTTAGCTGACATTCCAGACAACATATTACACTGACCTTCATTGTTCTCTTCTTCAAGAGTACTGGATTCTTTCATGCACTCAGCAGTTTCTTTGATCTTAGGTTTTTGAGAAGAAAGCTCATCCTTGCGAAATGGAGTCATGCTTTTAGCTGATGTTGCAGAGAGCATATTACCCTGACCGTCATTGTTCTCTTCTTCAACAGCACTGGATTCTTTCATCCACTCAACAGTTTCTTTGATCTTCTCAACTTTATTCTGTTCTTCAGAATGTTTAGAATCTATGCTCTCAGGCTCTTCCAGATCCATAGCACTTGGATGTGCAACTGGAAAGACTTTGTTACGAGAGAGACCTTGAACATTGCCAGACATAAAAAGTTTCTTGTTTTCTGTCATCCTTGGAGTTCCATCCATTTGATCCATAGACTGGGTAATGTTGGCTGAAGCAAAAGGCATTATCAATTGATCTTCTGCGCATCAGGAATTAACACTATTAATGCACAATAAAGCAGCAAATAGAAGATGAAGTCAGTCAAATTTAGTTTATACAGTCAGGGAGATAGTTCTGGACTAACCTTGTTCATTTTCATCACCAAAGTTGAAAGCAGTGATATGCGAAGTCTCAGGAGCTACAAGAAATAAGGCTTTGATGTTAGTACAAGAAGCTTAAACAGAAACAAACTAATTTCATGTGTGAACACTCAGCTTGTGTAAATCCATTATGACTAAAATGGATAATTTACTACCTTGGTCGACTCCAATAGACCCGGCTTCAGATTCACTGTGATCTCTTTCCACTCCACTGCAAATATAAGATTGCATTTCATGACTTAGGCTAAACTTTCCTTTGGTAGAAGTAGTCTCTTGGTTAGTGCATTTCACAGAGACTGGTGAGGCAAATGAAGTCCTTACTTGTTCCACTGTTACAATAGACATCCCTTAGCAAATCTTAGAAACCGAAAAGAAAAGAGGACGGGAAAGAAGAACGAAGGGAACAACTGAAAATCCAGCAGGAAGGCAGAAACTGGTTATTCAAAAGAGACCATGTCAAAAAAAGGAATTTCAGAACCAACCTTGCTTGTTCTCAATCAAACTCCTGACAGATTCACTTAAATTTTCTTTTCCGCTTGAGCCAAGTCCTCTAGCGGTCATTGCTTCTCCACTCAATTGATTTTGAAAAAGGTAGTGCAGGTCTCCAACAGATTGTGAAACAACAGAGGGCGTAGCAAACAAACCTTTAAGATCTTCCCCCACTGCATCAAGTTGAAGAGTTGGACATGTTTATTGAATTTTACAAAACAATTACCATTACCAGCAGATGATGCAGCTGTATGTCAAAAGATACTTACGAAGTGATAAGTGAATATGGTCAAAGTAAGAGAAAATTGATGGTTTAAAACGAAAAAGGGGCAAAAGAGATCTACTGGCTTGTTAATGAACAACCTAAATTTTGAAATCCTACAGATTCAACTAAGAATATAAACTAAGCAATAAAATGCCTCGGAAATCATAATTAAGGAAGAAAGACTAACTGTTCTCATTTTCATGGAAACTGTGTTGGTATTGACTGCTTGTCTCATTAATCGCAATACTAGTTGCTATATCTACCTTGCTGCTTTTACCACCAAATGGTGTGGCAAACAATCTTTTCAGATACTCTCCTGTAACATAGCACAACAAGCTGTAAGTAACATATACTCTTCGGGGAAGAAGAAGAAGAAGAAGTCTAGAACTAACCTTGGCCATGTTCACCACAATCACGGACAGAATTTTGGAGACTTGATGTATCATTACCACTAATAGGAGAAACTGCAAAAAACACAAGGCAAAATGCCGAACAAAAAATTGATTTACAGCAATAAATTACAAAAAGTAAAAATGTAACATGAAGCACTTTGCAGCTAGCCTTGCCCCTCTCTGTTGAGACCCTCGTCCCTTGAATCACCATCCAAAGAAGCTTTCTTTTCTTCTTTAGAATGTGAAACATAACCAGGAGTGGCAAACAAATTTTTTAACTCTTTGCCTGTTGCATCATGAAGGGTATAGAAATGAGCAAATTGCAAAGAACAGGAGTAAGAAAACCTCAAAGCTACCTTGCTTCTCTTCATCACAGTCCTCTGATGGAGTTACATGTAATGTGATGTGCTCATTTTCATGGAAACTGTGCTGGCACTGACTGCTTGTCTCATTAATCGCACTACTAGTTGCTATATCTACCTTGCTGCATTTACTACCAAATGGTGTGGCAAACAATCTTTTCAGATACTCTCCTGTAACATAGCATAACGAGCTGTAAGTAGCATATACCCTTCAGAGAAGAAGAAAAAGAAGTCTAGGACTAACCTTGGCCATGTTCACCACAGTCACGGACAGAACTTTGGAGACTTGATGTATCATTACCACTAATAGGTGAAACTGCAGAAGTCACAAGGCAAAATGCCGAACAAAAATTTGATTTACAGCAATAAATTACAAAAAGTAAAAATGTAACAAGAAGCACTTTGCAGCTAACCTTGCCCCTCTCTGTTGAGACCCTCGTCCCTTGAATCACCATCCAAAAAGGCTTTCTTTTCTTTAGAATGTGAAACATAACCAGGAGTGGCAAACAAAAATTTTAACTCTTCGCCTGTTGCATCAAAAAGGGTATAGAAATGAGCAAATTGCAAAGAACAGGAGGTAAGAAAACCTCAAAACTACCTTGCTTCTCTTCATCACTGTCCTCTAATGGAGTTACATGTAATGTGATGCCATCACCAAGAATACCAGGTTCTGCAACTAAAAGAGATGGTCAATGTATTATGAAATTCATAGAATCGGTAAGTAATGAAAAAACGTTGCTTACCTTGAAGATCTAGAACTGCTTTTATGGGACTTGAAACGGTTTTCTCGGAAGCAGCCATCTCCAAGTTTCCACATTCTTCTGCATGAATCTCACCTTGACTTGTGAAGGTTGGTGCATCTAGATCATAATTAGCTTCCACTAGATCAGATTCAGCGTCTGCTTGTTCCATAGGACCAGATTCAGCTTCTGCTTCAGAAATTTTGCCTTCCATCTCATTGCTATGATTGAAACAACCTAGATTATCCAACAAAACATTACTAGACAACCCCGCATCCAACTCTTTTGCATAGTCCGTTGCAGTTAGCTCTTGTTCACCATAATTCACACCAACAGAAACAATACATCGAGTCTCTGATGGTTCTTTAAAACCAGAACCAAGCTTCTCTTCCATATTATCACTCTGGTTTACTGAACAGTTATCAAGAACTTCCTTAGATGATCCTGAGTCAAATTCTTCTGCAGTATCTGCTGCAATTGCACCATGCTCCAGTTTGTCAGAAGTTATGTCATTTCGAACTGCATCATCAGCCAAAACAGAACTAGGACATAGGCCTTTGCTTTCAGGCTCCTGTTCACTATAAGTTACCCCCTCCGTAACAATACATCCAGTCTCTGATTGTTCTTTCAAGCCAGCATCAAAGTGCTGTTCCATATTATCAAGAACTTCATTAAATGAACCCGTGTCAACTTCTTCGGCATTATCTGCCTCAACTGTTCCATGCTCCTGTTTGTTAGAAATTATGTCATTTGGAACTGCATCATTAGCCAAAGCAGAACCAGGATATAGGACTTTGCTTGCAGGCTCCTGTTCACCATGACTTACTCCTTCAGTAACAACACATCCAGTCTCCGATTGTTCTTTAAAGCCAGAATCAAGGTTTTCTTCCATATTTTCACTCTGGCTTGGTGAACAATTATCAAGAACTTCATCAGACAACCCTTCTGCATTATGTGCTGCTATTGAACCATGCTCCTGTTTGTCAGAAGTTATTTCATTTGGAACAGCATCATCAGCCAAAATTGGACTAGGACATATATCTTTGCCTGCAGGCGCCTCATGATCACACTGCAAAAGTTCCTCAACTAGGTTCTCCTTGGGTGTAGCTGCAAATGCGAAATAATGAATTAGCACTCTTCACAAAAAAAAGGCAAAATGTTAACTTATTACTAGATAGACTAACCATTGGAGTTGAATGAATCACTGAATGGTTCAGTTATGGAATTATTTTCAGATGGGGAAGCATTTGCATCAACAAGTGGTCCTTCCTCAATCAATTTGTCAGCTAGGGGGCTTGACTCAGCAGCTGCATCATCCTTACTTCCAGAATCAAAGATCTCTCCCATATTATTACTCTGGCTTAGTGAACAATTATCAAAAACGTCATTAGATAATCCTGTGACAAATTCTTCTACATTATCTACTACTGTTGCACCAGGCTCCTGTTTGTCAAAATTTAGGTCATTTGGAACTGCATCATCAGCCAAAACAGAACTAGGACATAGGCCTTTGCTTGCAGGCTGCTCCTCGTGGTCAACCTGCAAAAGCTCCCCAACTAGGTTTTCCTCAGGTCTAGCTGAAAATACGAAATAATGAATTAGCACTCTTCACAAGACAATGCATAATATTAACCTGAGTCCAGATACACTTACCGTCAGAGTTGGATGGATCACTGAATGGAAGAGATTTCGATGAGGATTTATTTTCATATGGAGAAGAATTTGCATCTACAAGTGGTCCTTCTTCAGTTAATTTGTCAGCTAGGATGCTCGACTCAGCAGTTGTGTCATCCTTGGTGCCAGCGAGAACTATATTGACATCATCTGGAACAGCATCTAGCTCATTCACAGATGATCTTGAGAAGCTCATTGTACCTCCTGACCCTGAGATATTACAATCTTTATTGTCAGGTTCTCTGACTATTTCCATGTCCTCAGGCATGAGTACTTCTACTTCAACATTTGATCTTTTAAGTCGACCCTGCTGCTTCTTCCCTGCAGTACTTGTCTTTTTAACAACTGATGCCTTGACACTTGCCTTTGAACTCTTTATGGACTGTTTCGCCGAGTCTAAATCTTGAAGGGTGAACTTGTTGGTAGAATCTTTATCTTGAACAGTGCAATTTCTCTTTGTCAGCTTATTCTCACCCTTTTCCTTCTTATCATCTGAAACTGCTGCAAGTGTATGCCTAGAAGCACTCCTTCCAGAACGTCTCCTCTCTTCTTTTACCACAGAAGTTTCTTCTTGCACTGATCTGTCCAATATCTTGGTGTCTACATTTGCATTAGCAACATTCCTTCTTGACAATCTCCTCTCTTCTAATTTATTTTCAGCAATATCATGTTTAGCAAGTACAGGATCTCCCATTTGTTTAGCAAGCCTTTTAGACCGCTTTGAAATCTTCTGGGGTTCTTCTTTTGTCCTTTTACTTCCAATCTCACCATCATTAGCATTTAAGGTTTTTTTCTCCTTTACAACCACAACTTCATCACTTCTTACTTTCTCCAAAGAAGGAACAACAGATTTGCGCCTATTACTTCTGATAGGAACTTCTCCAGTTTGAAGAACCACTTCAAGAGTCCCTTGAGATTCAGTTGGTCCATCTATTTTATTTTCAGCAATATCATCTTTGGCCAATACTGAATCTTCCACTTGTGTAGCAAGCCTTTTTGACCGCTTCAATGCCTTCTGGGGTTCTTCTGGTTCTTCTTCTGTGACTTTTTGCCTTACCTCATCATCATTAGCATTTAAGAAATTTCTTTTCTCCTTCTTGGCCGCAACTTCATCACCTCTCAATTTCTCCAAAGGCAAAACAGATTTGCGCCTATCACATCCTCTAGGAGGAACTTCTACAGGTTCTTCAAGTTGAAGAACCACTTCATGTTTCCCCTTCGATTCAACAATTTTGGTTCCACTTTCCGATGTTGAAGCTACTACAGTTGAGCTAAACTGATTTCTTGTCCTACCCCTAGTAACCATCTTTTCTTTAGTAATATCATCACTGAACCTTGATCCCTTATCCTTATTAGCTATCCTTCCAGACCTCTTCAAAGCCTTTTCGGGTGCCTCCACAACACTATTCTGCCGAGACCCTCTTATGATTACTCTGACTTCATCTTTGACAGCTTCAACTAAAGATTCAACAAATTCAGTACAAAGCAATTCCTCACTTGTCTCAATGGCTTTCTTACCCCTAGTCCGGTTCCTTTTGTTACTGACATTATCCTCAACTGGTTTCAAGTTCCGAGACCTTGTAACCCGAGCTGGCTTCTCCGCAACCTCCTCCCTTACTTCAGCATCAACCTCAATTTGAACAGGCAAGGTCTGATTATGAGCCATAGATTTTCTTCTCGTTACTCTTTTCGGCTCCTTGGCTTTTGTTTCAGACTTTGTGCACTCATCCATGTGACCACCACTAATGAATGTCACTTTCTTGTCCCTCTTCTCTTCCCTATCAATTACCTTTTCACTTCCGTCCATATTCGGCTCCTCTTGGGAATCCTCTACACTCTCTTTAACATTTTTTCGACTTCTTACTCTTCTACTCATCCGTACACCATCATTCGCTCCCTCATTTTCTTCCCTCTTTTCCTGTATAATAACTACTTCCTTGTTCTTCAATGTTCTTTTTGTGGTCACTCCAACTTCATCCATACTCTTATTCACTGAAATTACACTATCTTTCACCTGCCTTGTCCTTCCCTTTTTCTCAGTAACACCATCTTCTATATTCACTCCCTGTGACCTAGTAACCCTAACTGGACTATCCAAAATGCCTACTTTTAACCCGTCACTCCTAACATTCAAATTGTTCTTGTACAACATTGTCTTCCGCCTCTCTCCCCTTTTCACTTGAGCCGATCTCGTAAACTCAATAACTTCATTATCAGGACTAAACTTCACTTTCTTTACCTTCCTATTAACAACATCAGACTCATTCACATCCAACATCTTTAAACATGATCGCCCTCGAGTTAAGGGTTTTTCATCATTTACCTAAACATTAACGACAAATTTAACCAAAAAGACAGAAAATTTCTTGAAACTCAGATAATAAATAAAGAAATTAAGATTACTCATTACCTTAAGAAGTGAAGAAAGCTTGTCGGCCATTTCCAAATTGGTTAAATTTGCAGGAATTCCATGTTCTTTGCATAATGCTTGTAGTTGTTTCCTTTTCATATTTTCCAAATCCATCTCTGCAATTTTTCATTCAACAATCAGAAAAAATGGAAAAGAAAGAATCAAAAGTAAAAAGAAAAAATTGGCAGGAAGATCATACCTGAGATAGAGAATTTTGGTTTTCGTTGTGAAAAATTTGAAATTTGGAGCACTGTTTGAATTTAATTGAAGGGATAAGGGTTTGAAATTTGAATTTGAGGGATTTCCCGCTTCTTAACGAACCCGACCCGATCACGTGCAGGAAAGCGTGTTTGGGAATTTTCCGATGGAGAGTACAAAATAAAGGAGCTTTCTTTTATATTTTTAATTTTACTTTTACGTTTTGTTTGGATAGTTGTTACTCGTTGCATTTTATTGTATTGTTAATTTAAATACAATATTTATTTTGATTGTTGCTTAAGTTTTATTGTGTTAAATCGTTTAAATCATTGTTAGGTAATGACAAAAAGATTCACTTTATATTACGGATCGATTTGGTGTGATCGCGTCTTTACCTTAATATTTTCTTCTCATTTTATCTTTATTTATTATTTAATTATAATTATATTTCATCTTTTACACTACATTTTCATAGTAGCTCTATCACGTACCTTACATCTTTTTTAGATTTATCATTCAAATTATGAATGTGTGCTATTTTATAATAATGAAAAATGATACAATCTATCCAAATATTATAACTATTAAAAGACGAAATGGCCTAATGGACCCTCGTACTTGTACGCGTTTGTATTATGAATTCTTCTACTTAACTCTTTATCAACTGAACCCTTAGACTCAATCCAAATAAGATTTTTAAACTCCTCTTATCATGTGTGTAGTTCACTCTCCCTTAAATTGATAACATGTCAAATCCATATCACTTATATCAATAACATGTCATAATTATCTTTATTAACTATTTAAAATTTATTAACCAAAATTATTTAATAAAAAGTAAGACAATAAAATTTAAATTTATTCCTTAAAATAAAATTTTGAAACTCCTACATCTTCTCCCCCATTCCCACCTTAACATAAACAAAATATACCGGAGAAACTCTTGCCGGCAAGACTACCTATACTCTTTTCCTCACCCGTCTTTCATCTCAGCCGTACACCCTCGCTATTTTCCTTTCATCCTCCTTCAACCATCACAAAACTACCAACCTAAGCCGCCGCCCCTGCCGCACCACCAGATCTGGCCGAAATCTCTTCGTTGTCGTAACTAGATCCTCCTACCCTCACCGTCTCTCTCACTCTACTGCGAACTAGTTTTCTCCGACAAGCACCACCACCATCGACCTCTCCCTCTAGCGGCGAATCAATGGACTCAAAGAGGTTTCAATACCAAGATCTCTTAAAGATGATGACAAGAGTATGGAAAGAAAAAAAAAGGGTCGGGCATATTGGAGATGACTGCAATTGAAGGCGGAGTGAGTGAAGAAGATGGAGACTTTTTAATTAATTTTAAAATTTTTGTATTATTTTATTCTTTTACTAATATTTTTAAAACTGAAATATAGTACTCACTCGCCTTAAGGAGCGTGAAGTCACACTTTCACCAACTCAGCCATCTTAAAGACACATAAGCATGGTCAATGATCAGAGGGGTTCGATAAATTGTATTTTATTGAGTTTAAGGGTCCAGATGACAAATGAGTAAGTAGAAGGGTTCAAAATATAAACGGATACAAGTACAAGGGTCCACTAGACCATTTCACCTTACTAAAATAATACAATACAATGCAATAAAATACATTATGAGACGATACGTAACAAACTATCTAAACAAATACAAACAGACTTGTAGAGTAAAGTTCAGGTTTGGTGTGCATTTAATTAAATTTTACAAATTTGGGGATCCAAAGCATTCTTTTCATGACGATCCGAACCTTATGTCTCTTATCCAATCTCATCCGTCTAACTTTCTTTAAACCAACCGCCATACAGTGCTCTAAGCATACGTTACACATTTATTTTGATTATCACTTAAATTTTATTGTAATGTAATGTTTAAAGTCATTGTTAAATAATGACAAGGACTCATTTTATGTAATGACCTATTTGATGCAAATACTTCGTTACTTTAACATTTTTTTTATTTTGTCTTTATTTATTATATTTAATACTCCATTTGTTTAATAATAGTTGTGCATTATTGACTTGACACATTCGTTACTCACTCTTATTAAAAGTAACTCATTTGAAAAATAAAGTATTTAATAGTAAGGATAAAATAGACACAAGATGGTAAATTACTCTTTGATTTTATAAACAGGAAAAGTATTGTTGGACATCCTAAAATAATATAGTGAATAACTATTGTTGAACAAAGGAAATAATCATATTTCATTTTTTATCCTACTTTTTCATAGTAGTTCTACCATGTACCTTACTTTTCTTGTAGGTTTATCATTTAAATTATGAATATGTGACATTATGTAACGGTGGAGAACGATACAATCTATCCAACATTATACTCAATCAAAATAATACAATTTAATAAATTGTGAAACAAAAAAAAAAAAAAAAAAAAAT